CAGCCAGTATACTTTTTTTATGGAAAAATGAATTATTCTTACTGGAGAACTACAGAGTTACCATACTGCATAGAGGATTGCCAACATAATTTCAGTGTGCATTTTCTGGAAATCAGAGCATGCTTAAATGTTTTTATATTGTGTTTTCCATAAATATAAAATGTTATAAGAAAATAATAGTAATTTCAAAGCTTTTTGAACAAATAAAAAAAAGAGTCAAATATGTTTCAGTAAACTGAAGCAGTGGGCTAAAGCTGTTATCCATGTATTATGTTTTAAGTTATACTGACTTTATAAAACAGAGGTCGGGGGGACTGGGAAATGGCCTACATTTGTACTGTGGATATAGGGTGGCTCATTATGTGAGTCAAAATTTAGGCCATAATACTCTCACTTGGCTATCTTTTGATTAGTAACTTTGGCAAAAAAAACTACACTCAGGAGATTTGATTACAAGAGTTCGACAATGATGTGAAATATAATGCTCGTCTCTGTCATTTAAATAAAGATCACTTCCAAGGAATCTTTAAAATGCTGCAAAATACTTGTCATACTATAGATGAAAAGTCACATTCATGTATGCTATTTTGGTCTTTCTAATAAGGTAGGAAGATGACTACTAGAACTCACAAGATATCCATCAAATGATCCTTCTAACCCGACTGTCTTACCTACCTCCCCACCAACTAAATATGAGAAACCTAGGCATATCTTGACACTGTTTTTCTCTCTAGAACTTAGCCTTTCTGCCCCACAGCATACACACACCTTATTCACGTATATACCCACTTTCCCTTCAAAGCAATGAACCTGACTGTCTCTGATCACCAGAGTAGGTAGTTTCTTAAATTTCAAATCTGCTGTTATGTCAGCAGAGGCTATGTTTCTTTAGTGGTGGTCAGAGAAAGATAGGCTTCTACTTGGGATAGAGCTACTGACTGGAGGATGTCTTTTTCATTTCCCCAGAGGGTTCAGAGAAAACTAATTTCAGAAGGCTCCCTGGTTTATGAGCACTCTTTTGGTTCATGAGTACTATTTTTTTCTCGTTCGCACCAGTTTTATTCCTTTGGAGGTTGGGAATAACAATACTCCTGTAGAAATTGTTCTGTTTTAACTTCAGCCGAATAATTACGATATACAAATATAATGGACAGCTAGATGGCACAGTGGATAGAGTGTCAGGCCTGGAGTCAGGAAGACTCTTCTTGCTGAATTCAAATCTGGCCTCAGACACTTACTACCTGTATGACTCTGGGTAAGTAACTTAACTTTGTTTGCTCATCTATAAATTCAGCTGGAGAAGGAAATAGCAAACTACTCCAGTATCTTTGCCAAAAAAATCCCCAAATGGGCTTACAAAGAATCAGACACAACTGAAAAATGACTGACCAACAAATCCACCTACATATTAATTATAATAATTATTTAATTGTATTTGTTGTTTCATTGTTGTAAAGAGACCTTTGGGTTAAGCACTAACACTTTTTCTGCAACTTTTGGCTTTAAGAGATTGCCTTTCGAGAGGCAAAATTGTTCAATGAATAGAAAATTTACCCTCTCAGTCAGGAAGACCTAGGTTCAAATCCTTCCTCTGATATATAGTCTTTGTAAAACTTTGGATAAATCATTTAACCTCTCACTGCCCCCCGGCAACTCTCTAAGTAAGTAGAGGACAGGCTGAAAATATACATAATTTATACCTCTTGTGTATGTGACCCCAAAATAATTCAACTCTTTCCAGTACAGTGTAGAGTCAATAGTAAGCAGTTTCTGGTAGAGATTATTTAATCTTTCACTGTAGTAAACACAGGGTAGACAGACCATCAAGAAATAAATGAGAAATTAAGAACAATTTAGAATGGATGCTGGTGTTTTGTCACCACATGGAACCCAGAGAAGCTATCATGGATCATCTAAATGTGATGAGCTATAGGAAGGTGATGGAAACACAAATCATCCTGTGTAGACAAAGGAATGTTTGGAAATAATAGAAGCAGAGGTTCCTTTTCTATCTGAGTTTTCTTTATCTCCTTTCTAAAATATAATTTTCGCTGTTATATCCTTTTCTTTTCTAATTCTGTGGTTACCTGTTACCACTAACAAGAATTGCTTTTATCTTCCTTTAATCACAAATTGTTTCTCATTTCAATATAAGTTGTATATATATATCTCTACTTTTCTTCTGTTATTTTAACTTGACATTTGTCAACCTCTCTTGAGGAAAAAAAAAAGACTGAGTATTGGATACTAATTTTCCATAGAGATTGCCCAGATAGTAAACGGCCTTTTCTGTCAGTAGCAATCAGAATTTGCTTGAAGCAAAGATCTGAACACCAATCTCATTCAGAAACCTAGAACAAACTAAGTGTACATTTGTTTCAAGTACTGAAGATAGCAAAATCATATAAAAAACTATTCGCCCTGTCTCAACTGTGAAGAAAACTGTACTGAAAACAATTTTTAGGACACCATCACTAGGAAATAGATGTCAAAGTATTCCTGAATTTCATTGTCAAAAATTGGAAACTTCACCATGTTAAGTGGTACTACAAGGCACACAGCTATGTATAGAAGGTGATCTCTCTAGTGACTGGATTGTAAGCTAGGTAGGCCATACTGCCTCTCAAACATCAACTAAACCACCTGCTGTTTCACCATTAAAATTTCATTATTTCAAGTTCAAATGCCTTCCCATACATATATAAACACACATAAATATACACACAACAATAAGAGACCTACAGTGGGCCAAAGACAAACTTTGCCTACTAAATTTTTTTAGCCATCTCTTTATGGGTGTTCTCTGTCAGATTCTCCCAGATACAGTAATGTACCTTACTAGAGGTTTCTAGTCTTGCTTCTCTCCTTGTGAAATATGATTTCTTTTCAAGAATATAGGTTAATCAAGTCATGGGGTAGCCAATTACATAACATGTAGTGAATATATCTTATGGAATTTCATAAAATATGTGACTGTGGTCAGTTTTAGATTTTTAGGATCACTAACAAAAAGAGAAATATTTTAAGAAATATGTAAATTTATAATAAACAAACTTTTAAATATTGGTGTTGTTGCATTTATTTTTAGGACAACTTTAAAAAGAATCAAGGCTCAAACGCAATAGCTAGAGCAAAAACTTACACACTGTCCTGTCAAATTCCCCCCTGAATGAGTTGAGAAACAATATCTCCAGGGAAAAAGGATACATGCCCAGGGCTTTAGATACAAACATACAGACATACCAACAAGTACACACCAGTGCCTGTGGGACTCCTGAAAATGTCTTATTCCCATGGGGAAGGAATTGAAAGTCAGTAACATCATCATCGGCCTGAAATGAATTGCCTGCAGAATTGAAATACTCTCCGCTGTGACAGGGCAGTGACAGCCAAGTAAGACAGCCAGCATTTGACACCTTTTCTAAAATATCCCAAATCTATATGTATGATATTTGGGGAAGGTGATGCAAAAACACTTTGAAATACAAAGAGTTCCCTGCCATGGAAAACTAGAGGAGATGCTTGAAAACTCCTATGCACTTATATGCTTGTCCTCTTCTCCTCTCCCAAACATATACACCACCCCTACACTCCCACCCTAGGACCATGTGGAAAAGTTTCAATACAGGATTATCTGTACATCTATATTAGGATTAGTGAGTTAGGACTAAATATCATCACTATCAATATAATTTACATAAAACTTAATTGAAAATAATAAAACAAACCAAGTATATTTCTTGAATCCTCATTATGAATAAGTGTGTTTAGGTTTTTATAATAATAACAACAATACATGCAGTTACAATTTTTCATATTAACAAACACGGTAGATGGAGTATGTGTGTGCTTTATTGAAAAATACATTACCCCAACTAAATTCACTATGAAAGTGCTTGCCATGACTGCGCAAATTGAAAAAGTGAACTAGAGAGGTGATTTAATCCAAAAGAGGAACAAGTTGTCACAATTTTCTCCCTATTTTAGGTAAAACTGTGTGGGGTGTTAGGTATGGAAGAGGAGGAAAGAGTTCATTACCTTAAACTTCCCAGAAAACTGCCTTCATTATGTACACAAAATTACCTTAACACGGACAGAAACTCAGGTCATTGTAGGTTGAAGACTAACAAACATCCCAGATGTGAGCATTCAAGATTCTCTGGAAAGAACATGCAATCTGAAATCCAGTCCTGACATCACTTAATATCTAGCTCTTTTTCTTTTTCTTCACACATAAGCATTTCAGCAATCAGTTCATTGCTTTTCCAGAACTTCCCTTGGCTCTCTCACCTTCATTAAAGGTAAATCTCTAGCTTTTAAGCTAAACAAACATTCATACTAGATTACTTTCCTTCTGACGACTAAAGATGTGGTTTTCACATCATTCAAATCAAAAATAGTTTTTGCTCATTTTTTTATTATACTTAAATCTGTAATGGAAACTCTTCAAAATTATGTCAGTCTGAAAACCTCACAGAAGTCAAACTCATTCTTTCAGTGATGTTGCTAACCTGTAAAATTTCACAGATCCTTGAACTCAACATTTTCAAAATTTCTTTCCACCTCATTTAACTTTGGAGCTTGTAAAGCAGGAGATTTTGTGATATGGTATGAACAAAACACTTCAATCAAAATCAAGTTACCTTTGCATTCCACAATTCCCTGAACAGATTATTAAAAAAAAAGATAAAAGGGAAGAAAGTATCTCCCAAACCTTTTTTTTTTTCATATTTCCCTTTATTTCCCTGTGAACCCGAAGGTGATGTAATTTCAAAATATGTGAGAGTTCCCAGGGAGGCGTGTTTAAAAAAAAAAAAAGATCACTGTCTAAAAGCCATAGTTATCATTGTGGGACACTTGCCTGTAAACTCAGCCTTTTACTGCCATAAACACATTCACTTGCTGCAGTGCAGAATGAATGTCAGCTTAGTCAGTCAGAACTTTCAGTGCAGAAATTCAGCCTGCTGCCGATGCAGTCACCCCGATAAGGAAGCACTTACCTTAATTGAAATCTTGCTTTTGATAGAGCTCAGACATCAGTCAAATCAACCTTGATTGGGGTGGGGGTATCTAAGTTTTCAATCAACACCCTCCAGGTAGCTGCATGCTGTGCTGCTTTTTTCCTGTTTATGTTGAACTCCTTGCTGTCTAAACGAGAGAGAAAGAGATAAGCTGAAATCCTCAGAGGTTCCCAGTGAGTAAGTGAGGACCAAAGCAATGTTTCTTAACATGAGATTCTCCGCAAACGTGCTCGGGTCTGGAAGACCCAGTAACTGCTGTGATAGGCTCCTGTCATGTCCCTTGAGCTGTGGGATGATCATTGACCTGATTAGCACTGAACACTCCCTGCATGCAGGAAAAGCACTGAGAGGATTGGTGGGTCGAAAGGGAATTGGAAAAGGAACCAGGGCCACTTGGGAATCTTGTCTCCTCCAGACTAATGGATGAGCTGCAGCCAAGGCTATAATTTCTGAGGAGGTTACCCACGATGTTAACCATGTGAGGACTTAAACAAATGTGCTTTCGCATACTGTTTCTTAAGGTGCATAAGTAGTAGACCCAGAGTACAGCTGAGCAATTAAGAAACTGGTATAGCTGATCTGTTAGACAAACCTCGAAATATTCAGCACTTATAAGCAAAAGGATAAAAGCGGATTCCTGCATGTGCCTTTAACCCTAGACACTGACGCTAACTTTGACCTTAGGTGAGTAAGCTTGTCAACTCAACAAGGGCAATTTTCTGTTATAAAATGAAGGCACACACAACAAAGTATACCTGGCAATTCTTCACATTGACAAATGTACCCATACACACAGGACTATGGTATTATTTGTTTATTCTCTAAAAAGGGGAGACTGAATGAACATCAAATTGAAAAGATGATTATATTATTCCATTAAATATTTCTGATACCCAAGATAATAAAAAATTGAACCTTACTAAATTATCCCTTCTATTATTATAAGGGAATCTGCTAACATTCTAAATGACACTAATCAAAGTGAACAGGACATTTTATGATGGCCTCTAGACGCTCGCTGCACACATTGCGTAAGATACTTAGTTTCTTAGTATCACTTGATAAAACCTACCCCACAGCTGACCTTTTGCCGTGGCCCAGCTGACAGCTTCTTAATAGGTTTTAAATCCAAAATTACCAGTTTACTGATTATATATGTCGCTTTAAAAAAAGAGAGGTAGGAATACCAAATTGTTAATTTTTGTTGGTGCTAACTTTAACAGGAGAAAAAAAAACATATGCAAATAACATAAAAAGAACAGATGAAACAAGTCATTTGCATGTCTTAAGGGTGAGAAAATTTCATTGCCAGAAAGAATAACTGGAGAATGTCCTCTCATAATGATGCCAAAATGTTCAGCACCTCTATTTTTCCAAGCCAGTCACACTTGAGACATATGGCATTCCCTTGGTAACACTGCGTTTATCAGTGTTACATGCGCGCGCGCGCACACGCGCGCGCACACACACACACACACACACACACACACACACATACACACATATTTCAACTATAGTTGTATTTCTATGTTTGTATGCATCCTGGAATAACTCTAATTCAAATGAAGGAACACTGAAGTAAACTCATATTTATTACAAAAACTGGTCACCTCAAATTTTCATGAGATGTATCATAAAAGTCTATTACTCATTAATTTTTTTAAAAAGTTTTTCAACTGGACCCTCTGTAAAACATAAAATCTCCTATAAACTGGGAATTACTGTAAAAAGGGCAGATTATTGAACTTAAAATGCACGTTCTAACCACGAGAATCTTGAGTAAGGAGGACTAAGACAATTCAATTTACAGATGAGGTCTCTTGCTCCCTCAGCTGGCTGAGGTTGGGAGCTGTATGGAAGAAATCCTCTCGTCAGTGGGCACCTGCCCTCCTGCAGAGAAAGAAAAGCACTTTTTCCATCTCAACAGGAGAACCATTATCCAGTTAAAGATTAGCATTAATGAGTTCCACTTGAAAAATGACTACTTGAAATCTCCACCTCTCAAATGAGGCATCTAAAACATAAATAGTAAATAGGGAACATAGTTACTACTCTCTTTATAAGAATGTGGGAGTGTCTTTGAAAAAATACTGATGAAAACAAAATATATTTAATATTCTATGGTAGTTATGCAAATATATATGCACACACTGATACATATATACATGCACATGTATACAAATTGATTTTCTACATGCATATGCATATATTACACCTATATATACACAAACATATTTATTGTATGTCTATGTATGTATAAGCAATTTTGGATATACTCTCTAACTGGTCTAAGGTTTAATTTGGCAACAAATTTTATTTTTTTGAAATTGCCTTCCTTTCAAAACACCTGCTTACTTTACCCTACAACCTTCAAGAATTATACTTTACAGCTAAGAGGAGTGCTAATTTCACTAATCTCATTCGCTTTATTTTGCTGCAGATGGGAAATTGCATCAGGTAAAACATCTTTGACTTGATGTAATTTTTAGCTGTAAAGTACAATTCTTGGAGGTTGTAGGTCATGATAAAACTAGGAGGAATGTATCTAGTGCCACTTAATTGAAAATTCATAATTCCCTTGTTGAGACCTTTAAGTAGTGTGTGCTCTAATGGCCAACGTTATTATAATAAACTTCGTGGAAGAAAATTAACAATACAGTGAAAAAGGGAGGTGAATCAATAATCTCTCTCACAATCTCTCTCACAATCTCTCTCTCTCTCTCTCTCTCTCTCTCTCTCTCTCTCTCTCTCTCTCTCTCTCTCTCTCTCTCTCTCTCTCTCTCTCCTACCTAGACTTTAAACATTTTCTACTATGTGCTAGGAACATGAATATATATGGCAAACATTTCCAATGACTCTGGAGCTCTTTGAATCCACCTGAATTGAACAATTACCCTGATTAATGGTCATTTCACATCTACTTTGTTAAAACTTATTTTTGCATGGCAAAAGGTTAAACACTCAATTTTGTAATACATTGACAGAGTCCATTTCAATATACAATATTAAAGTAATGGAGAATATTAACAATGAAGGAATAAAAAGTAAAGCATAATAATGAGAGTACCTTTCAAGTCAGATTATTATACTTAGTTTTACTAAGTAATAGAACAGAAAATAAGCATCCTGAGTGGTAGGGGCTGCTTAGTTTTGTCATTTTGCCCCTAGAGTCTTGCACAGTCCCGAGGACTTAGTAAGTGATTAGCATAGTTGTTGAATGAAATCAAGTTGACTTGCTGAAAGCAAAATGAAGATGATGGCAAATAAGGAAATAAAATTCCTTGCAGATCTTGGAGGAGAGAATGCTAGAAAATACTGGATCCAATTTCTTGACTTTAGCTATAATAAAATAACTCATTAATAAAAATGCTTTAGGGTTACAAAGGGCTTTGCATGTATTAATTCATTTGATATTCACAATATCCTTAAAAAGTATTATTATTTGTACTTTACAAATGAGGAAATTGAATCTCCGAGAGTTAAATGATTTACTCTAAGTCAAATTTAGTAAGTGACTGAGCCAGGACTCATATCCAGGCTTTCTTACTTCTTACTCTTTTTACCTTTCCACTACACCATGCATGAAGACTCCAAAAAAGAGATTATAATTATTCTCTCCATCCTCATTTACTTGAGAGGAAGAGATGAAAATAAGGGAGGGGGGAAAAAAGCAGAACAGATGACATTATCTTGATAGCAATATCAAAAGCATATATATCTCAATCATGCTTAGTTAGATTGCTATTTCAGTTTTACCAAGAACAGGACTGAGATATCAAAGTTCAACACATAATTTGGAATCAGACTATTCAAATTTCACCTTGAAGTTTTAAATAAAGCCACATGAGCATTAAAATAGTAGCTTAAACAGATGAGTTTAATTTCTAGACCATATTCATAAAAATAAATTTAAGAGCTATACATTCTCATGATTTCAACTTTTAATAATATTTATATTTAATAATTGTAGTTTTGCTAAACAACTTCACATTCATTTGATCCTTAAACCAGTCATGTAAGGAAGACAGGGAGGCATCAATCCTATTTTTAAAAGGCAAAGGTGAAGCAAGGCTTGGTGGTATCAGTGTGGCCTCCTTGGCCTCTGGTTCTGGGGGTCATTAAGCAGAGGCCCAGGCTCCCAGCCTCTTGGGAGAAGTCCAAGCTCCTCAGCTCTAGCTTCCAGACCCAGCCCATCCTGTGCCTGAGGCAAAGTGATCCTCAGGCGCAGTAGCTCACCAGGAGTGAAGAATCTATATTTTTGACTAACACAAACTTAGTGTATCCTGCCCTGAAATGGGACCTTGATTATCTACAAGGGAATATTGGCAATAGAGATTTTTTAGTGTATAGTTCCAGTACCCACAAATTCCTCTGCTGTGATGATAAAAGATGGCTAACTCTCAAACTTTTAGGCCAAAGTCCAATGGGAAAGAGATGAAATTCCATGAGTTTGTGGAAAGCCTACAGGGCATAGACCAGTGGGGCAATGAAGAGAGGTTGTATCTGCAGCAGATTCTCAATGACACAGTAGGGAGAAAGACTGTCATGGACTTCTTGGGTTTTAACTGGAATTGGATTAATAAATAGCAGCAACCTGCTGCTTGTTGGCACAGAAGGAAATGTGATACCTGTGATGAACGTCACAACTTTGTTCAGATCAAGGGCTATAAACAATACATCCTGTTTCCTCCATATCACTTAGAGTGCCTCTTTCCATATCCCATGAACCACCCCTATGACAGGCAGAGTCAGGTGGATTTTGACAATCCTGATTCCAAAAGGTTACACAACTTCCAGTACATGATTGGCTATGAGACAGTAGTTGGCCATGATGATATTCTTTACAACCCTGTGTACTGGTGGCATCACATAGAATCATTCCTGAATGGAGAAACCACCATCACTGTGAGCATCTGGTACAAGAGGGTACCTTCCCCTAATAGGATTGAATATCCTCCCAAGGCTCATCAAAAAGTAGCCATAATGAGAAACATTGAGAAGACACTGGGAGAGGCCCAAGGGAATCCACAAGAGGTGGGCCCCTTGTGACTGCCTATCCTCCTATCCCATCTTATCTTGTCTGGTCTGCACTGCTTTGTTGATGAGGACTGGAAGGTCCAGAATAAT